AGTATTATGAAGTGGCCTTCTTTATCTCTTTTTATGTCCTTCACTTTGAGATCTAATTTGTCAGATATAAGTATTGCTACCCCGGCGTTTTTTTCACTTCCATTGGCCTGAAAAACCTTTTTCCATCCCTTCACCATCAGTCTGTGTGCGTCTTTTCTTCTGAGGTGGGTTTCCTGTAGACAGCAGATATATGGATCATGTTTTCTTATCCACTCATTTTCCCTATGCCTTTTGACTGGGGAATTTAATCCATTTACATTTAAAGTTATTATTGATAGAAACTTGTTAGTCGCCATTTTTGTTCTTTACCACTGCGTTCCTTCTTTGTTTCCTATTTTTTTCTATTTACAGCAGACCCTTTAGCATTTCTTGCATTGCTGGCTTGGTTGTAATAAACTCCCATAGACCGTTTTTGTCGGTGAAGCTCCTGATTTGACCCTCAATTTTGATTGATAGCCTCGCTGGGTACAGTATTCTTGGATTCAGACCCTTCCTTTGCATGACTTTGTATATTTCATTCCATTCCCTTCTTGCCTGAGGTGTTCCTGTTGAGAAATTGGTCGCTAGTTTGATGGGGGATCCTTTGTAGGTAACTTTCTGTCTCTCTCTGGCTGCTTTTAAGATTCTTGCTTTGTCGTTGGTGTTTGCCAATTTAATTATTATGTGCCTTGGTGTCGGTCTTTTCGGGTTCATTTTGTTTGGGACTCTGTGAGCTTCTTGGATTTGTGTGAGTTTTTTCTTTCCTATATCAGGGAAATTTTCTGTTACTATTTTTTCAAACAGGTTTTCTAGTCCTTGCTCAGTTTCCTCTCCTTCTGGCACCCCTATTATTCGGATGTTGTTTCGTTTAGCGTTGTCCCAGAGTTCTCTTAGGCTCTCCTCCTGCTTTTTAATTTTTTTTTCTAGAAGCTGTTCTGTTTGGGTATTTTTTCCTACCTTGTCTTCTAGCTCGCTGATGCGGTCCTCTGCTTCTTCTAGTCTACTGTTGATGCTTTCTATTGAGTTCTTTATAGCAGTGATGTCATTTTTCATTTCTTCTTGGTTTTTCTTCATTTCCTCTTGGTTCTTACACATATTGTTGAATTTGTCTTCCATTCGTTTCATCCACCTTATGGCCATTTCTCTGAATTCTTTCTCTGACAGGTTGCTTGCCTCCATTGCCTCCATTTCGTTTACTTCCTTTTCTGATGATGCCTGTTTTTCTTTCATATGTGGGTTGGTTCTTTGTTTCACCATGATCTCTCTTCTCCCCGTGTTTGGTTATGTAGTTCTCTCTCTGCTTTCTGTGAGAAGAAGCAGTTCTCTTGTCGTGCCTGGTCCTCTGGCTCCATGGGAAGGGGCACCTGGCTCTGGGTCTTCCTGAGCAGGAGGGCACATGTGTGGTACTAGCTCTACAATAACTCAAAAGCTGCATTAATTTCCAACCTGCTACCAGCATGCTGTTTCATGGACACCATGTAGTGCGGAGCAGTGGGTGCACCTGGGCAGCGTGAGCTGGGCCCCAATGCCCGCTGACCCCCCCCTGCACCAGCTGCTGGACTTCCAGCCTCAGGAAGGAGCAGGAGCGGATCCTTTGAGAAGGGCAATGTGAAGACTTACCAGCACTGCCTTTATGGCTAAAGCTCCCCGAGGGGCCCAGCGGGATGGTCAGCCCATCCAGAGATGAGAACATTGCTGCTCAGCAAAAGCCCAGGGCAGGTGCTCTGAGCCCCCCCCCCCCCCACCTCTCCCACCTCCCCCATGCCTCCAGGTGACCCTGCACCCAAGCACCTTCCATTCCCATCAGAAAACTTGGGGGACAGGGCTCTGACAAAGCAGATACTGGTCAGGTAACTGCTTACTCAACCCAGTATGGGGGTTCAGAATGATCCACCCCAAGACATACCTCAGTGCTAAGCAGCTTATTTTAAGCTAAAGGCAATTTTAGCTTCAGGCTCAAGAGAAACTTGCCCTGCCCTTACCTACCTAGAACTAGCATGTCAAACATGCGGCGCACTGGCCGTGAGTTTGACATATTTGACCTAGAAGAACTGGAATGAGGGGCCTTGAATTAGGGACAACCTTTGGACCTGTCTAGAGGGCAGGACAAACTTCACTAAGCATCTGCTCCCTTCTGTCTCTGAACCTCCCCTGCATGTGTCTGTCTCTCATGCATGTGGTTCCCATGCATGTGCATGTATTGAGGTTATTTTTCCCTGCACACCTGTGGTTGTCAGACCAGCCAGAAGAGCCTGGAGGGTACAAGACAGCTTGCTCCTCCCCCACAGCAGCACTGCCCCAGCCTCCACATCTTGCTCACTTCCTCCATCTCAGTGTGGGGGATGAACCCCAAGACACACACCCCTGCCCCAGTCCCTTGGGCCTGGGCCTGCAGGACTGAGTCACAGGGTGGGAGGAGATCCTTGGGCAGCAGTGCCCTCTCTGGGCCTGTCTCTCGGCCAATGCAGGGTCAGACTGGAGTGGCTTCTGCCAGTGTCGGGAGCGTGGAGGGGAAGCAGGGACCTTTGAAAATCGGATAAAAGCTATGGGCGTTCCCCGATGAGCGTGTTAGGCATTCAGTCCTCGGGGCCCACACCTCCTGGCTGAGGAGAGCCCTGGACCAGTGTTCCCAGGTGACTGGATTTCATGGATCGGAGGAGTTCTGAAAGGAAGTCTGGAGAGACATTTGGGTGACTAACTCTTTGTTGGTTTGAACCAACAGTCACTAACCAACCAACAAACTAAAGCACCCACCCACCCCCTTCAAGAGCCTCCGTCCACTGTCCTCAGTTCAGAGCAGGGCAGCTTCACATGGGGAAAGGGTGTGGACTGCTCCACTCTCTCTCTCACACTAACCTTGGTGCCTTTTCCCGTCTTCCTGAGCCCTGCAGACTGTACTACATCAGTGCCAGGACCACAGCCACCCAGCTCTTCTCTAGGTGTAATCGGACAACCAATGGGTCCGCAATTAAGCAGAGACAGGGTGGAATTATTTGAGCATTCATTCCAATCCTGCCGGCAGTGTGGGAGAGCAGCGGGTCATCCACAAAAATCTGTTCTGCCCTCCACCATGAGCCTCTGCTTATATTGGGGAGAAGGACAAAGATCACATGGGGAAGTAGGCAAAAGGTATGCCAAATGGGCAGTTTACAGGTAATGCGGGCTGGAGATTTGCAAAGACCTGTGGGTATGCAAAGGGCTGGGAGTCTTAAAAGGGCTGGTGATACACAAAAGGCTGGAGGCCTTCAAAGGGCTGGTGTCTCTGGTTTCTGCAACAAGGCTGTTAATCTTTCCATGATACTAGGCAGCTCCCGGATGGGGCGGGGGCTGCATCTCCAGGTGAGCTCCCAGGTCCTGCGTGCAGCTCTGTCAGGTTAGAATGTGCCTTCTTTAATCAGAACAAAACAATCCTGGTTAACAGAGCACGGTTACTATTTCTTAAAATTCTAGCTGGTCCCCAATATTCTATTTCTGCCCCCGTCAAGGGGACGGCCTGATGCTGTCTCACCTACAGGGTCCTGGGAGGTGGTTCAGGGGCCAGAGCGGAGCCCATACGCGGCTCCCTGAACCGCTGGATTCCCACCCCAACCTGGTGTGCCGGGGGTAGAGGGCACGCCAGTGGAGTCAGGACCTTGTGCCTCCCATTGCATTTCTGCTCCAGAGAAGCGGGGGAAGCAGGCTCTCCGAGGCCAGCGGCAGGCTCTGCCACGCTGAGGAGCTGCCAGCTCAGGAAGCCATGCGCTTCCTCTGCCCTTCCTCTCAGCTCTTTCCCAGGAGCTTCTGAGGTGGGGGAGGTGACAGGCCCTGAGGCACCTCTGACAGGGGCTGTGACCAGCAACTCTAGGGCGCCATGCACACACCAAACGTTTTCTACAAAGGGCCACGCACGTAAGTCTTCTAGGCTTTGCAGGCGAGATCTGTCCCAACGCTTTAACTCTACCATTAGAGCAGGAAATCAGCTGGATACAATGTGTACATGCACGGACGTGGCTGCGCGCCTCTGAGTTTGTTTACAAAACAGAAGGTGGGCCTGCGATTGGTCCCCACCATGACACAGAGGACTGAAAGTGGCCCCTACACCCCACCACTGGGTCAGGGGGAAAGGCCTGAGGTCTGAAGCCTGCGGGCAGTAAGGCAGCTGGAGTTTCTTCAGCCAAACTCACTGAATTCATCCAACCCCCCAAGCACAGGGGCTCCTCCCAGGCAGCCCACCTCACCTTCTTCCTGAGGCTGACTCCTCAGCTCCACCTCCTCACCCTCCTGACCACAGCTGAGCTCAGCTCAGGGCATGTCGTTCCCTTCCTCCCACAAGCACACACTGCGCAGGTCCCGCGGCTCGGCTGGCCCTGCTGCGGCCCCCGCTCCTCTGAGGACCCAGGTCTGGGGTCTCCTCTCTGCAGACGGAAGACACTTGGCCAAGTGGCCTCCTCAGCTCCCGAGTGTCCCGGGAGCCCACGCCGTGCCCTTGTGGACGAATTCTCCTGGCTCCCTGGGCTACAGTATGCCCAGGGCAGCCCGGCCTCCCCTTCACCTCAGGCACACAGGTAGCCTGAGAGCAAACTCTACAGTCTCCAGATGGGAGGATTGGGGCGCTGCCATCAGTCAGGGATGCAGCTAAGCTACTGCCAGTGATCCCGCTCCCCGCCTCCACCCCCCCAAACCTGGTCTCTTACTCCGCTGGCCTGTGGTTTAGTAACTGTTTCAACAATAAGGCTGGTTAAGCAACTGGCTGCTCCAGGGGTCATGCTGCACACACCCTGATCTTGAGCCCGCTTCTCAGGGGGTGAGTTCAGTGCAGCCTGGATGTTTCACACCAGCACCCCTGTGTGAACTGCTTGTCTGCACTCCCACGTCCCCACACCTCGGAACCCGGCCCGCCCCGCTGAGCACCAGCACCTGGGGCAGGGGCCTCCCTCGCTGGGACAGGTGAGGCGGATTCCCCCAGAGGGGCGCGATTTCTGCCCCTGATGTGCAAGCCAGAGGACCCCGCCTCTTGCAGGAAAACACTTTCATGGCCACACTTTTTAAAGAAACGTTTTATTGCTGCATTTAGACACCCCCGAGGATTATTCAAGTGGTAATACTGAGAAACAGCGCACACACAAAAGGATACAAAACTCGACATCAGAGAACGAGAAACTCCCCAAGCGCCTTTTAGAAACTATGCCACGCGTGCCAGTGAAATTTGGTTTTTATTAACAATCAACATTCTAGAAACATTGCATCTAAACAGGTGGTGAGCTGTTTCGATCTTCCCTGGGCGAGAGGTGGAAGCTGCCTATTTCAAATCAGACCCAAAGGGCAACTATTTCAAACGTGTTTGCATCAGGCCAGCTCCCCAGCATCATGGTGTCCGCCCTGCGGTGCCCAGGCCTCCTAGCGGGCAGCTGCCCACCAGGCTCAGGAGCTCCAACCCCGTCAGGCATTGCCCGAGGCTCGAAGTGGCCCGCTGCCTGCACACCTGTAGCCAGGAAGGGTGCACCTGAGGTTTGAAAATTAGACCCATACGGTTGACAAATGTGGATTGGAGGGGGAAAAAGTGGGAGAAGGCATGCTAGAGGCCTGGAGTAGGAAGAGACCTTTTACAGTTTTTAGGAACGTTTTAAACTCGGGCACAAAACCCAAATTACTGCTGGCAGCCGAAGAAGTCAGACCCCTTGAGTTGTGCTGTAACTTTGGGGGAATAAAGGCTGGTGGTGACTCCCGAGGGCCGTTTCGTCTCCTCCTTGCAGGCCCACAGGTCCCAGTCCTCTTGGCCCCGAGACCTGCAAGCTCACCTCGTTTCTATATGGTTCAGCCAAATGCTGCCTCCCGGTAAAGCCAGGTGCAAAGGAGGGGAAACCAGGGATTAACCCCCAAAGTACTGAGAGGGCAAGTGAGAGACGGAAGGGAGTGCCTGGCAGCTCCGCTGTCCCCACTGGGTTGGCAGCACAGCACACGCTGCCAGGCCTCCCTTAGGCCGGGAAGAGCAGAGCTAGGACTGAGGAGGGCCAAAGGCTCAAGGAGACCTGCAGGCCCAGACGGCGAGGGAGCACTTTGTGTCCTTCGGGAGAGGAAGAAGGGCTTGGGGAACCTGGCAGCAGGTGATGAGAGGGTGGCGGGCCTTCCTGAACAGCAGGTTCACATAAAACTCTGTTGGGCGTGAGAGCAACACAGTGGCGGTCACAGGGCGCCTCCCTGCCTGTCACAACGGGTGCCAGCCTCATGGGGAGGCTGCCGGAGCTGCTGGGGCCGGAGCACACTTACCCCTCGGTGGGAAGTCTCCGTATTTTTCAAGTTCAGCATAAGCCGTTCCCTCGGGGGAGAGGGCAGGACCTCACTTAAAAACCTACCCATCTTCACCTGACACTCATCCGCGGTCAGAGGGGGACAGAGACGGCCGTGGTGAGGCCACTCCTAAGGGGCAGCCAGGGATGACCAGGATTCAGCAACCCTGAGTGAATGGTCCGCCTGGTCCCAGGCTGAGGGGGGGGGGGGGTAATTGCACTTTGGGGCACAGTGAACACGGGCCTGGGCTGGATGGGGCCTGGGAGACGGCGAGAGGGAGAGCTGACCCATGTGCAGGGCTGGGCGGGGCCCTGGCTGCCCAGGCGAGGAAGGTCACGCAGAGCCGCTCCTCAGATCAGAGCCCGGGACCCTGAGCTGGATCTCGGGGGGAGGAGGTGGCAGAGAGCAGTCTGCTCCTAGGCAGTCAGCCCAGGGCTGACACCCTGCGGCCTCCTGGCTTTCCTCTCAGCACACAGGCCAGGCGTCAGGTTCAAAGCACTAGGGCAGGCCCTGGGCACCTCTCCGCCCCCTCCCTCAAGGAGGTGGGCACCGGGAGGCAGAGTCGCTGGGAAAGTGAGCACCAGGCAAACCCACACTGCACTGAGGTCCTCCTCGCCTTCTCCTGGCGTTAACCATGTCCCTGGGCAATGACACTAATTTTAAAAACAGAATTTTAAGTAGATTCTTTAAGGGACAAAAGCCATTTGACGGTAGTGATTTTGGTTTTGTTTGTTGTATGAAAAATGGAAGGGAGAGCATCCCTGAAGACAGAACAGACTGATCACAAGGCCAGGGCCCCAAAAAGATCATCTCTGTTCAGTCCAGTTAAGGCGACCAGGGCTGGGGTGTGGCTGAGGGCAGGGACACAGTGAGCTACGGCAGTCGCTGTCAGCCAGCCTGCCTGCCTCTGCCCTGGGCAGCACCTCTGGAGCAGGAGCTGGCTGAGGCGCAGGGGTCCCTGAGACCTGCGGGGTGCACCCCCAGGCCAGGTGGGCATGCCTGCTCTTCAGTGTGAAGCCAGCACAAGGCAGAGAGGCTTGTCTGGAAAGGAATGGTTTTTAAATATTCAGTTTGTTTTAATTATTCACTTTTCCTTTCATTTAGACCCCATAAGCCCTTTCTTTTCAGTGTTGACAAAAAAAGAAATGTTTGTAAGACCTGTCGTAACACAGGCTTGAAACCACAGAACTATGCTCAAGCCGCCATTTAGAATCCATTCATTCCCTGAAATGTTAGGAGAAAGCGTCAGACCTATTGTCCTGCTTTACGGTCACAAGTCCCTTTAACGGACACAGAGGAGATGTCACGTTTCTTAGAATACGTAAGGCAGAGAGGGCTTCAGATCTATTATAACATGGAAGTGATCGTCAGGGTCGTGAGTGAAGAGGTTTCCAAATGAAACATTCTTTTAAATACCAGTCTTACTGGAAACATAAAATAAAGATTCTCCTTTTGTAAAGTGCTGTTTGCTCAGTGGCTCGCCTGCCACCACGCACAGAGCGCCACGGCCACCTGTGGGGAGGACGCAGGCAGTGTGGGCAGTGGGAGCACCTCTGGGCTCTCCCGGGAGGAGGGGTCCTCGCACCGTGACGACACTCCGAGCACTGCAAGCCAGGCTGGCCTGCTGCCAACCGGGCGAGCTGCACCTCAGGGCCCGGTGCCCCCTGCTGCCGCGCCTCCTCAGGCCTGACACGTTATTCTCTCATTCTGCTCAAGACCATGGCAGCTCCCTGTCTGGTGTCACGGGCTCCGCCTCCCCCGCCCCCTCCCCCCCCATAGGCCTGCTGCGGAAGTGGTGCCCAGGCACGCAGCCTCTGTGAGCTCCCCAGGAGATCAGCAAGGAGGGCTGAGAAGAGCACTGACAACAGTCGCCGGCCAGGCTGTGCTAACAGCACGGGGGAGAAGGTACGCGATGGCAGGCACCGGTTCCCTTCGCCACTGTGGACGTCCGGGAAGGCCGCTCCCTCCCCGCTCAGACGGGGACGATTTCCGCTCCGGCGTCCTCGGGTTCTGTGCAACTGGAGTTGGTGTCGGAATGGCAGACTCCACGCCCATCTTTATTTTCAAAGTTGGGCTCTGAGAGGGCAGGTTTTTCAAAAATATTCTTTTTGCTTGTTTCTGGACAGTTCTGAACATAGATTACTCTGTTGTAAGCCTTGAGTCTCTTCCACAATTGTACATACACTTTGCACTGAACGTACATAAAAAGAAGTCCGCCCGTAAAGCCGATGGCCACCACCACCAACTTAGTCCAAAAAGGCCACTCCAAGATTCCTGGAAGGGAAACACCGGGTTAGCCTGTCAGCTGACATTATTTAAGATCTGAAGAGATAAAACACAACTCAGGAACTTCTTAGCTCATCAAAGTTTGCTCCCTTGCAGGAGGGCTGGGAGGGGCCATTCCTTTTCATCCTGCCCTTCTGGGGGCAGTTCATGGAGATTCTCTCCCTCCGTGAAGGCCTCTCTCTCTTCTGACTAGACCTTAGAAACCGCTCACAGCAAGAAGCAAGAGGGGCATCCCGACAGGATGGCTCTTGCCTTACCGCTGGTGCCCCTACCAGAAACCCGGGAATGAAACAACCTGGGGTCACACTCAATCCGAGCCCCCTCGTCCCCGGCACGTACCTGTCGCCTGCCCCTGCTTGATCTCCTCGGTGGTGCGGTCGATGAGCACATACAAGGACCAGACCACGCAGGTGATGGCGATCACGTGGAACGTCACCGAGCACATGATCTTCCTGCGCTCGCTGGCCGTCATCTGCAGCTTCTCCCACTGCAGAGACAACACACAGACGGGGTCTGACTCAGTGCAGGCTGCGGGGGTGAGAGCACTGGAGATGGGGGAGCTGCCCCTCCCCCCCAACTACATGAATGCCCCTCAATACCCAAAGTCATTCTCTTTAAGCCACTTGGCTCTAATCAAGCACCCGGTACTCGTATTCTGTGCAACTCCCTGTGCAATGGCAAGAGGCCGGCATCGAGATGAGCTGGGAGCTACACCCCGCAGCCGCCTGCTTATCCTGCCAGCAGACCAGACAGCAGTGCTTGGTCAGGGAGTCTCTGGTTCCAGTCCCGATCACACCGCCTGCTGGCCCAGACCCAGGCGGCACACTGTAAGTCTCCCTGGCGTGCTGACCAGTGTGGGCGAGGGAAGCAGAGGGTGATGATGCCACAACACACCGCGATGGGTCACACCACACGGGAGGGTGATGCAGGAGGTGCTCCCTCTGCTCCTCTGCTACTCTGGCAGCAACAGCGTGAATCGACGCTAAGAGCTCCTGGTACACGCAGTCTCTGCCAGTCCCATCTCCTCTAGGGACGCATTAATTTACTCCAAATAGCCAGATTTCCTTTTTCATTTATCGGTTTCCAATCGAGAAGAGAACACATAAAGGTAGAGAAAGAGAACAAGGAGTAAGCAGGTGCCCTCGCCAGCCTCACAGCCTTTGCAGATGCTCTGTGGGGAGAGCCAGAGCAGAGCCGCAGGGCCCTCGATCTTGGTCAAGCGCCTGACTCCCGAGACTCCGGCAGAGCAGGGCCCGGGGACTGGAGGTGCCTGAGATCACTTTAAATCTGTGCCTGACTCCTTCTAAAGCCCGACCTTCCTTTGGCTGCTCTCCTAACCTGAGTCCTACTCCCTGATTTCCTGTTGTTCCCTAAGACACACTCAGTTCAAGCCTCTCTCACTCCCCTGACTGCTCACCTCACCTTTCACTTCACCTCCAAATCCTACTGACCCTCAAGAGGTGCTGTGACACCCCAACATTCTGGGATGCTACCACTCCCCTCCGAGCCCCAGCTCCCAGCGCACGCTTCCTCCCCAAGTGCCTGGAGTGAGTTAGCGTTTAACCGGCACTGACCTGTGCTGCTCTCTGAGGATGTGGCTCCCTGGTCAATTTCCATATAAAATCTGAGATACAAACAAGTCTTGTGTTGTTCCAGACGAACCTCATGCCTACAGGACGCGTGTGCAGGACAAGGCTCCTGGCAGAGGGGCCGTGGCCCGGGACAAAGGCCGTGTCCTGTCCGCCTTTGGTTCCTGCCTCCCAGCCCACCCTCCCACCTAAAACCCTTCTCACAGGACAAAGCTACTGTGTTATGCTGTGCTTCGTGCAGGAGAGATACTAATCTCTAATTTGCAGTTCTAATTGGAGGCCAGGCATACAGACTCAACACATAGAAAGTTAAATGTTGACTAAAATGTCACGAGACAGGTCAAGGACCAAATGACTGACAGGTGAGCACGCAGCCTCAGCTGGAAGGAAAAAGAAAACGTGACGACTGAGAGGAGGGACTTGGGAACCAGCGCCAGAAACGGTGACCGCCGCCCGAGCGCGCACCGCCCCTCCTCACAGAAATGGACACACGCGGACGCGGGCCTCATCCGGGCGAGGCCGCGCCCGGGCCCGTCCACCTACTTTTCTCAGCGGCTTCAGCCTGGTCTCCATGATGAACTCGTACTTGCAGAGCTCGCAGCAGCGCGTGTCGGAGCTCTTGATCCACTGCTGCAGGCAGGCCTGGTGCACGAAGTGCAGGCTCCCCGTGCAGTGGCAGGGCGTGATCAGAGGGCTCTCGTCGTCCCCCTCACAGTGGCAGATTCTAGGGCGCAGGAAGGAGAGCCAGGCATTACCAGCGGGGCTGACGACAGGGTGCCAGGGCCATTCCCCCAAGAAAACGCTCAGAAACAAACATCACAGGATCGACTACAAGCACAGACACAGACAGACAAGAGCGAGGACAATGACTGCAAACTAAACACCTCTAGCTAACTGCACCGACAGGGGAGTCTGGGCATCGGGCACGAGAGGGGACCTGGTGTAAGAAATGACACAGCAGTCACTTTGGATAAGAGCTTCCCTGAAAGACACATTTAAGGCAACCGGGCAGTATCTTCCAGAACTGACGACGTTAAAATAATTAGGAAAAAATTTCTGTGTAAAAGAAAATCAGCCTTCCAAAAGCACCAGTGATTTCAAAGATGGTGGGATCGCTTTTTCACTATCACCACTGACCTCACCTCCAAACCACAGTTCCGTCAGGGTGAGCAGGACATCTCGGCACCTCTCCTGGACTTAGGACATTCTGAGGGGCTGCAGGTTCATTTCTTTTTGCAGGACCATCACAGCAATAAGCGGGGATTTTAAAGCATTTATTATATTGAAAGGTTCAGGGCACATGCAACAGGATGGAGCTACTAACCTCGAGCAACTAAACAGGCCCCTGAGAACAGGGTCCTCCCAGCCGCTGAGGAGCAGAGACACCAGCCGGAAGGAGCGGCTGGCCCTGGCCCGGCTCTCAGCTGTTTCCTTCTGATCCAATTGTCAGAACTGATAATGGCTGGCCCTCAGGAGGGCGACTGGGAAAGGTTAGGATGGGGAAGGCTTAGAGTGATGATAAAAAGTGCTTTCTGAAAGATTTGGAGGGGCATTATCTCCGCCCAGGCTGCTGACATGGGAGGAGATGGAGGTGCGCAGTGGAATTAGGACCTGGACGGAGGCGGCTGCCTCCAAGTTAAACAGAAGGAAGGACAGCCTCTCCCATGCACATCATGCTGCAGGTGGAACAAGGGGTAACAATGAGGCGGGAAGGACAGCCAGCCCTGGACTCTAGACCATCAAGCCGGAAAACTTTCTTTCTTCCAACTTCCTTATGCAAAGTCAGCTTGACCTTTAATATGTGTAGCTTCTTCCTCTTTTATCGTCTGTGAAACTACCTTGGGACCCATATCATAGAAATTGGTTTTCCAAATGGTATCAACACTCCATTCTTCTGGAGAAACTATTAATCCACAATTGTCTACCATTGCCTACTAATTGGTTTTCCTGAAACTTCACATATTAAAAGCAAGATGAGGCTACACAGGTGTGGGAGCAGAGACGGGCAGAATGGTGGTTCCTGGCAAACCAACCTGCAGGCATCCCCTGACGTGGACACGGGAGAGATGGGGGGGCATTTTTCAGAGAGGGGAGAGGAACAGTCCAGGTCACTGTCCTTCTCCACGGAGCAGAGGGGTGCCCGCAGGGCCTTCCTCTTCGATCTTGCGGATGTGTTGTCCTCAAAGACGTCGTCATCTCCCATGTCGTCAGAGCAGAAGCCCGCGCTGCCGGCCAGCCCGCTGGAGGACTTGGCGCTGCGCAGGTGGGCCGCCCCGCTCTCCAGCTCGTGGAACCTGTGCAGGCTGCTGGCGCTCGAGCCACGCGAGAGGGAGAACAGGTACCTGAGCAGCCGCCGGCTTCTGGAAACGGCCTCCTCATCTACTTTCTCTTCCAGAAGAGGGACATGCATGCCCCCCTGGCCACCCTCCACCTCTGAGGCAGCTGGGCGATTGGCAAATAGGGATGGAACACAAGGATGTTTGGAATGGCCAAGAGGTTTGCAATTCAGAGTTCTTTTCTGTTTATGATGGAACCTGTTAATTCTGAGACACGGATCTTGAGAGAGTATCAACTTCCCTTCAGAGCACGTTCTTTCCACATAGCCAAAGTTTCCCACGCTGTCCTGGGCCTTCTCGCCCACATCGTTCAGGGACTTGGAGCACTTGAGCGTCCTTCTGGCTCTGCTGCTCTGAGCAGGCTTCACGGCCGGGGCCCACTCGGAGCCGCCCGGGGTCCTCGGTGGCGCGGGCAGTGTGTCTGCACAGAGCACGGTCACTGTGAGCCCTGGCGCCAGAGAGCTCGGGCCCCGAGCCGCTTTCAGGACAACAGCAGCCTGCATGGGGCTGTGGTGACAACACCCAGAACACACTGCCCTGGAACTGCATGCAGAGAACAGTGGGATAAAACACAGAAGTGAAAACAATTTTTAAAGAGAACAGACATACAAGTGAAGAAATGAGACTCGTGTAACTTGGTGAGCAAACAGCACACAGAACGGGGCCGACTGTTTAGAGCAAAGCACAGTGTTGACCAAGCGAATAAAACACCGAGAACTGTGGACACTATCGCGTACTTCTGGGGTGACACGAGCCACTGTAGCATCTGAAGAGGGTGTTACCTGCAGATGTCCTGACTGGAAGGTGTGACAGAAGAGCGAGAGAAGGCGGGCACGGGAGCCAGCACCAGCGGAGGACCCCCGACCTGCAACGACACACCTCCGTCAGTTTCTGGGAGAGTCAAGAGGACCCTGAGCCCCTCTCCATCCGAATGGGACATGTCTGCTAGTTCCTCCTGCTCAGTGAGTACCATGAACTAGGTCCCCACAGCTGGGACAGAACAAATCAAATAGCTCTTTTCTTGCATGTGGGTAAAAGTATAGCCAGGAAATACTTGAGACTGGAATAGCACCATGGATCCGAAGATTCACGGTCGTTTATTTCCTAAGCATCTGAGTGTCATTAGTTCATACACAGGTCAAGAAACCAGTACTACAAGGCGTGTGGCAAAAGCAAAAGAACTGCATGTGATCACTGGGGCACCTGCTCCCCGCCAGTGAGTCCTGGGTTCCCTGATCGAGGCCCGTAGGCCGTGGGCACCCCCTCATGCTCACCACCTCAAGGTGGGGCCCCAAACAGTGCTGCCCAGCCAGAGCTCTTCATACAGAGGGAGCCTACAGGGCCACCGGTCCACAGATCCAGAGCAGCCAGTGGCCCAGCACAGAATGCTCCCAGGAGTTCTCATCAAAACAAATAAGAGAGAAAATTTAAATTTGAAAGAACGTGTACCAGGAGGTTATGAGATAGAGCAGGGGCTCCGAAAGGTCGTGAATAAGCCCAAACTAGAGAAAAGATCTAGGAGGGTGAGGAGACACCACAGTGGTAGGAGATATGGAAAGAGAAAGAGCAGCAGGGAGTGTGGCCGAGGGTACAAAACCACCACAGGAGGGTCCTGCAGCCTCCCACGCCAGGCTGTGGGGCCCTTGCTAGTTCCCAGGCCCTCACAGCACCGTGCACCTGCATGGAAATGCATGCTTCGCTCCTTAGGACAACCCGGGCGAGCACCTGCTCCGCGCACCCCAAGCAACCACAGGAAAACAGTACAGTTGTCCCTGGGTCTCTGGGGATTAATTCCAGGACTCCCCATGGATACCAAAGCCACAGATGCTCAAGTCCCTTATATAAAACAGTGTAGCATTTGCATATAACCTGTATTTGCATATAGCCTAGAGCTGGTGTGCCCACACGTGACTCACTCCTTTTGCGTGGAACCAGGGTAGTGCTCAGTGCATGGCTAATTGACAGTCTGCTTTTGGGAACTTTCTGGGCTTTTCCCCCCCTGAATATTTTCAATCCTCAGTTGATTAAATCGGCAGATGTGAAAGCCATGGATGCAACGCCCGATGAGACGGGGCAGCTGTACTATGGTCTGTCATCGAGAGCGAGCCCACGTCACTTCTCCGCCTTCCCGAGGACATTCAGTGGCCCTCAGCCCTGCTCCTTGGTCCTTTGGGGAGTCCCACTCTGGTCCACAATTCTCCAGCTGAGGCCTGGCCCCACTTTTGCGAAGTGCCACCCTAGGGGTGCACGCTCACCCTGGCACTCCAGCCACAGGCCCTCTGACACGGGTGAGCCACCAAGACAGGCAGCACCATTGTCCAGAAACTCTCCCCTCCTCCCCTGCAATCGCACGGCCTGGAGGAGCGGGCCGGCACTTGAGGTGTTCACTGGACCACGTCCCTGCCCCTCGGCACGGCGAGCAAACGTGCCAACCCCAATGCCACCTGAAGAAGCCTCGGGGAGTGCCGCTGTGGGCGCCTGTGGGTGCTAAGCCGGCGGATTTCTCAATGCGCACCTTCAGAGTCGTCCGAGAAGCCGTACTGACTTCCTAGCAGAATGTGCATATGGGCACTGAGTATGTTTTCTTTGAAAGAATTACTAGTCAAAGTTCTTAAGATTCCAATGTTTAATTTATTTGGAGACTGGAAATGATGCCCTCAAATAACCTGTCACCATGTCACGGTTCTTCCCAAAGGAAAATGAGGACCTGCGTGCACAGGACGCTGCTGCGTTCCCATTGCAGGGCCACCGGCCGGCAGCCATCCCGGGCTTCCCTCAGGAGCCTCTGCCCAGCCCGGCCGGGAACAGCGCCAGCGCCGGCTCTGCTGCGGCGACTGAGAGCACAGGGCCTTCCGCCACTCGCTCGGGAGGGGCTGAGGGCAGCTACACGAAGGTCCCAACTGCTAACAACCTGTTCCCTGACGTTCAGTCCTAACCCAGCCCGAGGCAGGCGGCCTTCTTGAACGCCTCGCTCCCTTCTTTTACTTCGAAGGTGACCAGCTCTGTTCAGCTTCTGTGGGCAAGACTAGAAATGCACCACGGAGGCCACAGCTGGTCACTGCACTGCAGAGGAGTCATCACAAAGGCCATGGGCTGGTCACTGCACTGCAGAGGTGTGAGTCATCACAAAGGGCACGGGCTGGTCACTGCACTGCAGAGGAGTGAGTCATCACAGAGGCCACGGGCTGGTCACTGCACTGCAGAGGAGTGAGTCATCACAGAGGCCACAGCTGGTCACTGCACTGCAGTGGAGTGAGTCGTCACAGAGGCCACGGGCTGGTCACTGCACTGCAGAGGAGTGAGTCGTCACAGAGGCCACAGCTGGTCACTGCACTGCAGAGGAGTGAGTCATCACAGAGGCCACGGGCTGGTCACTGCACTGCAGAGGAGTGAGTCATCACAGAGGCCACGGGCTGGTCACTGCACTGCAGAGGAGTGAGTCATCACAAAGGCCATGGGCTGGTCACTGCACTGCAGAGGAGTGAGTCATCACAGAGGCCACAGCTGGTCACTGCACTGCAGAGGAGTGAGTCATCACAGAGGCCACGGGCTGGTCACTGCACTGCAGAGGAGTGAGTCATTACAGAGGCCACGGGCTGGTCACTGCACTGCAGAGGAGTGAGTTGTCACAGAGGCCACAGCTGGTCACTGCACTGCAGAGGAGTGAGTCATCACAGAGGCCACAGCTGGTCACTGCACTGCAGAGGAGTGAGTCGTCACAGAGGCCACGGGCTGGTCACTGCACTGCAGAGGAGTGAGTCATCACAGAGGCCACGGGCTGGTCACTGCACTGCAGAGGAGTGAGTCATCACAGAGGCCACGGGCTGGTCACTGCACTGCAGAGGAGTGAGTGGTCACAGAGGCCACAGCTGGTCACTGCACTGCAGAGGAGTGAGTCGTCACAGAGGCCACGGGCTGGTCATTGCACTGCAGGGAAGTGAGCGTCGTCATAGAGGCCATGGGCTGGTCACTGCACTGCAGAGGAGTGAGTCGTCACTGAGGCCACAGGCTGGTCACTGCACTGCAGAGGAGTGAGTTGTCACAGAGGGCACGGGCTGGTCACTGCACTGAAGGGAAGTGAGCGTCGTCATAGAAGCCACCACGGAGGCCACGGGCTGGTCACTGCACTGCAGAGGAGTGAGCGTCTCACCGGGCCTCCCTCAGCAGACTTTGGAGAGTCCAGCTACATCCACATCGTCCCCTCATGGCGTTGAGGTCAGCTCTCCTTTCTCTATGTGGCTGGGTCAAGTTTAGTGGCTCAGACTGAGGTACAGGATGTCTCCTTCCCCTAAGGCAGCGGTTGTCAACCTGTGAGTCGCGACCGTCGGAAAACACATATAGCATATCAGATATTTACATTACAATTCATAACAGTAGCAAAATTACAGTTATGAAGTAGCAACGAAAATAATTTTATGGTTGGGGGTCACCACAACATGAGGAACTGTATTAAAGGGCCGTGGCATTAGGAAGGTTGAGAACCACTGCCCTAAGGGATGGGAGGTGCCCAGCTCTCCCAGAAGACAGGGAGTTGCCTGGCTATCAGTTCCCTGTGAGAAAAGGACACAGTCTCCTGAAACCATGTGTACCTCCCTGCATCCTGAAGGGAAGGCGATCCATCTGGGAGGAAAGTGGGGTCTTATCTGGAGAATGAGGCCTCCCAGGGTCAGGGTCCTGGAAGGGGGCAGGCCTCAGAAGCTGAAATCAGAGACTGTGGCCTCTCACTCCTGCTGACCTTCCAGCGGTCCAGGTCAGATGGGAAGTCTGGGGTAACTCTCACACGCCCATGCTCGGGGCCCAGGAGGCGGGGGAGGGAGAGCCCAGAGCAGAACAAAGCCTGTATGGGGAGGTCCACGCTGTGACAGGACCAGGTCCCGCGGTGAGCGCACCGGCCCGTCTGCACTGGAGAGAGCATCTGCTTGGGAGGCGGCTACAGCCCTGGACCCGCGCCCTGCTCATTAGGAAACAGGACATCAGAGCGCCCCCATCCATGCCCTGCCCTGGTTTCACCCTCTCCTGTCCCACACAGCACATCCCAAGACGCCTCAGCACACGTCCAAACCACAAGCTCCAGTGACAGAAAAAAGTCTCTCTTCGAGTTGGATCATGAGGGTTCAAGGAAATTTTAAAAATCTACTTCCTGTAGTTTTACATAAATACAAGCCAACAAATGCCTTTTCCTGGCTCCTTCTCCAGGAGTGAGAAGCAGCAGGGTCTGTGAGGCATCCCCGCTCCCAGGAGGGGCTCCTCCTGCAGCTGAAGAGGAGCACCGGCTGAGCTCAGGGCCAGTCCGCTGGGGGTGCCCGCCCGCGCAGCTAGGCACCCGAAGAGCTGCCTGGCCTCACACCCAGGAAAATCTACCACCTGCACCGAGGACCTAAAACACCGCCTGCAACAACGGCACAAGAGAGAAACGACAGCTTCACCTACGGCTCCAGGGTCGAGCTGCCAAGGTCAAGTCCAGCAAGGGCCAGCAGGCTCTGCTGGAGGCTCAGAGCAGGCAGCTCCCTTCCCCTACCCCCGGAGCAGGCAGCTCCCCGGAGCAGGCAGGGTGCATGGGGGAGGCAGGGGCGCTGGGGACAGTGCTGGCTCGGAGAAAAGCCGTCTGTGCCTCACCCACTCGGGAGCACCCTCTCCCTCCACAAGGGCCGGACCAGGACTGCTCCTGGTGAAAGGGGGGCGCGTCCTGACAAGACAATGCAACCTGCGGAGGAAGCAGGCTCCGCTCCTCATGTTCTCGGGGCCTCTCACCCGAGAGGCTTTCTGTCAGGACAGGGACGCAAAGCAATCTCAGGACAAACATGTTCACAAAAATCCCCTCTTCCTAAGATGTCGTAATCAGTTTGGCAAAACAAACCTCTGGAT